AATTATCGAACGCAGGAGAGAGGTGGTGGGTGCTTTGGGAGGAACGGTTGGTGAGGGGCTGGAGGCAGACAGCATGTCTGGCCTTGCAGTAATAGGCCTTGGGCTATTGATGGTGATTATATTTGCCTTTGTGGGGTTGGAGGAGATCAGAAGATATGGCCTCCCTGCCCTTTTTGCAGATATTTAGGTTATTTTAAATGTTTTCGTATTCTAAACTATGCTATGATGAATATTACAGTTAAGTCTTTTTTTTTTTTTTAACTTTTTATTGTGATTTGGATGAAATTTTACAAAGCAGATTCGTTTTACAGTTAAACCTTAATGCATGTTCTTTAAATTATTTCCTTAAATTCCTAAAATTGTGCAAATAAATGTATCTGCCAGAAAGATATGTTCCTGAAAGCACTGAAGGAGTTTTTATGATGTGCATAAAGTAGATATTTGGAATTGAAAATTATCTTTAGAGATATTTTTATTCTAATTCCTAATTTTACAAAACAGTAAATTCCAAAAAGGCAGAGCACACTAGTTAGTGCTGTATTAGAGGTTTCTTTTAGCTCTTCTACTTATTTCTCTTTCTGTACATATTTTAGAAATTTTAAAGAAACTTTTACCAACATCACTAAAAACTGAGTAATATGTTTGTATTTTTATCTGTTAGGATGCAAGTGGTGAAAACACTGTCATTCCTCCAGAAACGTATGTGAAAGTGGCTGGCCACCTGAGATCTTTTCAGGTAAAGTCAGTATAAAATGACAACAAAAGGCAAGGCAACCATTGCCGTGGAGTCGGATCCAACCCATAGCGACCCCTCTTTGGATTGCCGAGGCAGTATCACTACAGAAGTAGGTTGCCCAACCTTCCTCCTGGGGAGTGGCTAGTGGGTTTGAACCGCCAGCCATCTGGTTAGCAGTCAAGTGCCTTAGCCACTATGCTACCAGAGCTCCCAAATAAAATGACAGTTAAAATACATTTGCATCATGCATTTACTTAAAACTTAAGTAAAAGAACTGTTTTTGCCTTTTTTTTTTAGTTTAACATAACACTAATAGAATGGTAGAGAGAAAGCAGTATCTTTGTCTATAATTTCCAGATGTAGAGTCCATTCAGTGTAGAAGGAAGACACTGGATTTGAAGTCAGGAGAGTAGATTGCTTGGTAGTGTAACCTTGAACAAGACATTGAAATCTCTGAGCTGGTTTTGTTTGTTTGAGTCTCCCATTTTTAACTGTATTCTTTCTTTTGTTCTGTTTGTATTACCTATATTTGGATTAACTCTGAGTTAAAATTATTACATACATACATTTTTTCCATATTGGCAAAATATCATTACCAGAAGAGAGCCACATGTTTTGACCTGAAATTGATAAAAATGTGTTTGTCTGTTATTCACATTTTTCACTTTTATTTTAATAGAACAAAAAAAGCCTGGTAGCCTTTAAAATTATGCCCCTGGAGGATATGAATGAGTTCACGACACATATTCTGGAAGTAGTCAATGCACACATGATGCTGAACAAAACTCTTAACCAGGTAAGTACCTTCACTGTAGTATTTTGCTCTCTTCTAGAAGAACGAAGAGTGCTTTTGTGCACTATCTTTGATTTTCTTGACACATTGAGTGTTGAGTCAGAAGAAAGGCATCAGTCATTATCCAAAACATTCTCTCCATGCACTTAGCTATTTTATTTTCTTCCAGATGAAGCACTACTACTTTTTTTCAGAATTGCAAATCCTTAAAATGATCCCACTGGCCGAGATCCCACAGCCTTCACAATTACAGTATGAGCTCTTGGCTACAGGATTTCAGGGTATATTCAGAAAGGAGAAAGAGGAAAAGAAAAAGAAAACTAGGACATTTTGTTGCTTTCCTTCCTACCTATTGGCATGATTGAAAAATCATACACCATGATTTTGTCTCTGAAATTACATTTCTTGGTTCATACTGAAATTTTTCCATTCCATAACATTAGTTTCTGTTGTATGAATTCAATCTGGCAGGTTAATTGTGAACCACACAGAGTCTGTTATTTCTAGTGTTAGAAAGTCTTCAGATGGTTCTGATGGCAGGGTGAAGGATTGATTACAGTAGGAGACTGGAGAATGATGAGCCAGCCATTAAGAGTATTCTTGCATCCTACTCTGTGTAAGCACTTTGTTAAGCTCTGGGGGGTATGGAGATAAATTTCTTTATTGATTCCTTCATTTGAACAATATTTATTGAGCCTACTATATTCAAGCCTCACCTTGGCAATACTGAAGGACTGTATGGGCAAAATATTGAATGATGCCAGAAGCATCAAAAGAAAATGGAAGGAATACACAGAGTCACTATACCAAAAAGAATTGGTCAGTGTTCAACTAGTATTTCTGGAGGTAACATATGATCAAGAACCAGTGGTATTGAAGGAAGGAAGAAGGCTAAGCTTCACTGAAGGAATTGGTGAAAAACAAGTCTCCAGGAATACCCCTTTAGATGTTTTAACAAACAGATGCAATGCTAGAAGCCCTTACTTGTTTATGCCAAGAAATTTGGAAGACTGACACCTGGCCAACCAACTGGCAAAGATTATTTTTGCCCATTCCAAAGAAAGGTGATCCAACAGAATATGAAAATTAGCAAACAATACCATTAATATCACATGCAAGTAAAATTTTGCTGAAGATAATGCAAAAACAGTTGCACCAGTGTATTGACAAGGAGCTTCCAGAAATGCAAGCTTGATTCAGAAGAGGTCATGGAATGAGGGATATCATTACAAATGTCAGATGGATCTTGGCTGAAAGCAAAGAATACGAGAAAGATGTTTACTTGTATTTTATTGATTATGCATAGGCATTTGACTATACGGATCATAACAAATTATGGATAACATTGCAAAGAATGGCAATTCCAGAATACTTAATTATGCTCATGAGGAACCTGTACCTAGACCAACAAACAGGCTGTCATTCAAACAAAACAAGGGGATATTGCATGGTATAAATCAGGAAGGGTGTGCATCAGGGTTGTATCCTTTCACCACATTTATTCAATTTGTACGCTGAGCAGGTAATCCGAGAAGCTGGACTATGTGAAGAACATGGCATCATGACTGGAGGAAGACTCATTAACAACCTGCGATACGCAGATTTTACAACCTTGCTTGCTGAAAGTGAAGATGACTTGAAACACTTACCGATGAAGATTAAAGAGTACACAGTCTGCAGTATGGATTACACCTCAACATAAAATGAAAATCCTCACAACTGGACCAATAAGCACCATTGAAGATTGAAGTTATCAGGGGTTTAATTTTTCTTGGATTCACAATCAATGCCCATGGAAGGAACAATCAAGAAATCAGACGTCATATTGCGCTGGGCAAATCGGCTGCAAAAGTCTTCTTTAAAGGCTTGAGCAAAGATGTCACTTTGAAGACTAAGTTGTGCCTAACCCAAGCCATAGCATTTTCAGTTGCTTCATGGACATGTGAATGCTGGACAATGAATAAGGAAGACAGAAGAGCTGATGCCTTTGAATTGTGGTGTTGGCAAAAAGTACTGAAAAGATCATGGACCACCAGAAGAAGGAACAAATTTTTCCTGGAAGAAGTGCATCCAGAATGTTCCTTGGAAGTGAGAATGGCCAGTCTTTGTCTCACCTACTTTGGTCATATTGTCAGAAAGGACCATTCCCTGGAGAAAGGATATCATGGTTGGTAAAATAGAGGTCAGTGAAAAAAGGGAAGACCCTCAACAAGATAGATTTGACACAATGGCTGCAATGATGGGGAAAGAATGGCATAATATTGGACAGGGTGTCAGGAAAGGGCTTTCTGAGGAGGTGACATTTGAACAAGAACATGAATGAATAAACGGTGTAGATACTTGGGCAAAGAGCATTGTAAGAAGGGGAAAAGAATGTGTAAAACCCATGGGCTGGACCAAGCATAGTATGTCTGACGCCAGCAAGGTCACAATGCCTGGAATTAAGTGAATGACGAAGCACTCAAAGAAGTGGGTGAGGGAGCAGTACCAGATAATGTAGGGCCTTGTAGGCCATGGTAAGGATGAACTTTATTCGAATTGATGATAAGCTTCCTGGAAGGTTTTGACCAGGGAGTGATGTGCTCTGGTTTACCTTTTGAAAAGATCATTGGCTGCTGTGTGGAGAATGTACTATTGGGCAACAGAAGCAATTCAGGTGAATAGTAGCAGTAGATAGGGTAAGAAGTCGTTAGATTCCAGTATATCTTGAAAGTAGATCTGGCGGGACTTATAGTGGAATAGACAGACGATATAAAGATAAAGGATTCTCAGGGAGGGACAGTTTGGAAAGAAGAGTGGTTGCGGAACTTGAAGAATGAATTCAGTGTCACTGAATTATATATGTAGAAATTATTGAATTAGTGTATGATATGCTATGTATATTCTCAACAACACAAAAAATAAAATTAATTTAAAAAAAGGGAGGGTTCAAGATTGACTCCCTGGGTTTGGGGTTTGAGCAGCTAGATGAAGGAGCAGGTTTGAAGGGGAAACCTGGCATTCTGTTTTAGACTTAAATACATTATGCAAGTTAGAAACCAAAATTGAGAACTGAGTATATAATACAGGAACTCAGATCAGGGCTAGAGATAAAACTTTGGGAGTCCTCAGTGTGCAGTGATATATAAAGTCTTGGATGAGATAACTGGGAATTAAAAAGGTTAGAGGACTGAACTTAGGACACACCAACCTTTAGAAGTCCAGAAGCAGAATAGCAGCCAGTGAAAGTTGTAAGAAGTTGCCACGTAGACAGGAGGAAAGCCAGGATATGATTCTTAGAAAGAAAATACTTCCAGAAGGAGAGGGTGGAGATCAATTGCTTCCTCAGAGGCAAGTAAGATGATGAAGTCAGCCATTCAATTGGAAATATGAAGATCTTCAAAAGAAAGATTGCCTTGGGCATGGAGGTTGGGAATGGGTTAAAGAGAATAGAATTATGTGGAAAATTTAGGGTATTTCTTTTATTGCTATATTTCATAACATGGACCAAATATTATATGATAAAAAATGGTTTCAAAGTGAGAATGGGAGGTTAGAGAGTAATAAGTGAATATAGACAGTTATATTGAGGATTAAACAGGGTAATCCTTAAAGAGTGTTCATTAAGTATTGGGGTTCAGATCACTTAAGTACTGTTACGTGGCAAACACAGAAATATTTCCTATCCTGGCCTGGTCACAAGAAAAGCCCCCTGGAGGAGGTAAGCCTAAACCAAGTCTTAAAAGATAGACATGAGTTGGGGCCACTCAAAGCAGGGAGTGAGGTCATTTCAGCAAAGTTACTAGGTGAAAAACTACATTCACCTCACCATTACTGGATCATTAAATGTAAAGCTGCTGTTGCACCAGCAATCAGTCTGAACGCTTCTAGCCTGAAAACAAAGAACTGTAATTTTTGTTCTTTTACTTCCTTCAAGCAATAGCAATTTAATGAACATTTGTTGACTGAATAACTGAATTCCTTGACTGGATGGCTTTTTTCCTCATGATCTTTCACAGGCACTGGACATACTTGGTCCTCTGTCATTCTTATTTATTCAGTTCAACAGATTAAACATTGACTGGGCATATACTGTCTATCTACCCTGCACTGTGCAAATTTGAAAGGACCTTTGGGGCAAACAATGCAATGATAGGATATGGGCCAAGTGCTGTAAGAACTGTGACTGAAGACCATGACTGAATTGACTTGGGGGTGTCAGGGAAGGCTTTACAAAGGCAGGGATGATTAAGTTGGGCTTTGAAGGATGAGAAGAGTAATTATTAGATACCATCTGCCAGACAGATAACAACATGTTCAGGTCAGAGGCATGTCTGAGGATGGCAAGAAGTCCAGTGCAACTGAGAAGTCAAATGTGTTGAGAAGTAGTCAAGATTAAAACATTTTGAAATCTAGTTGTGATAAATCGTAAATGCTGGAATTAGGAGTTTTCTATTTTTTTAACCACAGGTAGAGGAAGGCATCGAAAGCTTAAAGCGGAGTGACATTATCAGAGGAGGTTAACACCTGGTAGCCATACCAGAAGATTTAGTGGAGTAGGCAAGACTAGAGGCTGAGTTACCAGTCACAGACCAGAGGAGCTAAGGATTGACTTGAACTAAACTGGAGGTTAAATTAATAATAGGCTGTGGTGACAGATTGTGGAAGGTGAGAAAATGGAGAATCCCATATGACTAAGGTCTGCAGAATTGGGTTTACTAATTGAAATAGAATATAGAGGACAATCAGGTTTAGTAAGGAAAGCAATGAATTTTATTTTGACGTGTCTGTGAGATACCCAAGTGAAGATATCCAGTAGATAGATGGAGATAAAGTTAATAAAGATGGGGATAAAAGTCTGGGATGAAATGTTAGGGAAACTATCAGCCTTTTGGGGGACAGAAGAGGCTGATGAGAGATATTGAGTATAGTTTGAGAGGTAAGTGGAGTATATCATCAGTCAGTAGATGGCTTCTGATCAAAAGGAGAAAAAGTGTACAATAGAATTTCAAACCCATAGAAACCAGACTTACTGGATCCATTGAGATTTGGGGAACCTCAAACCTAATGCCCAACAGTAACTTTAAACCTTGACCTGAAACTATCCCTTAGAGCCACTGTTAAACTAAACAACAGTTTAGGCCAATTAATAAAGAATGTTTGCCTTGAGCATACCACTATTATAAAAAATTATCTATGTGAGTGTAAACTGACAACAATTAATCTAAAGCCCAGATCAAAACTTTAAGGGGCAGAGAGTCTAAATTAATGGTGATGAAACAATATAGGTAGAGATAGAATGGTGACACATTGTGAATTATGCAGGACTTCTTACCACTTCAGTCTGATTCAGCCCTCTGCTGAGAATTTGCCTTTCCACTCCAGGTTTAGGAGTTATGGTAGCGTAGTGCCTAAGGCATTATACTGCTAACCAGAAGGCTGGCGGTTCAAATCCACCAGCCACTCCTCAGAAGAAAGGTTGGGCAATCTACTTTTGTAGTGATACTGCCTCGGAAACCCAAGTAGGGGTCGCTATGAGTCAGACCCAACTCTTTGTCACATAACAATAACAACAACAACTCCAGATATACTCAATCAAAATTTATATTTTAACAAGATCAGTGCTATTTTTTCCTGTGGATTCTCTCCCACATCACAAAGAGAACAAGGAGGCCAGAGACACCTTTATCTCCCTTTGGTGTATTATGTGCTTAAAAAGAGTTATTTTACCTTCCTATGGAAAATACACATTAGATGATAGATGTCCCTTCCAATGTAAAAAATTGTTAATGGGCCAACTCTTTGCTTAGATTGTTTTTTGGAAGCTACTTATTAATAAGCTGTTTGAAATAGCAAATACTATGTTTAACTTGGTGGATTTGCTAATGTTCTGAACTTTTTAAATTTAGCCTTCAGCTGGGAGAGCACCTATCAACAGCAATCCAGGAATGAGTGAAGCAGGGAACTTTGGTGCAAATAGCTTCATTCCAGCAAATGGTCTCACTGTAGCCCAACACCAGGTAAACACCATCTGAACGGCTTCAGAAATACAAAACACAGGCAGTCCTAAATTTTATTGTTTCCTCAATGATTCTAAGAAAGAAGTACCTAGCTCATTTTCTTTCCTATGAACCTTTTTGCAGAGTGAAACTGGTTCCTGTCTAGTTGTTAGAATCTTTGTTTGATTTGACTCTGCAGGTGCTGAGTTTGATTAAAGCTTGCCCAAGACCAGAAGGATTGAACTTTAATGATCTCAAGACACAGCTCAAATATATGAATGTAGCCTCAATCAAGTGAGTATTTGGTTTTTGTGAGCTAAGACTCAAGAACTGCACCCTGTTTTCCCCACTAGAGATTCCTGCTGATGGGATGTGAGTTTAAAAAAACAAAACAACTGTCTGTTAACTGCAACCTTATCAACAGTCAGAAAGGAATTGGGTTGGCCTGGAAAAATAGAAAAAAGAATCCCAGCACTCACTTCATTTGTTTATTCAAGAGATATTTGAATATCCATTATATACTGGGGGGTATAATTTTGGGACTTAGTTTGAATAAACTAAATGAGTTTAGCTTATGGACTTCGGATGAGCCCTATTGGCATTACTGTCCCCACTACGGAGATGGGTGCACTGGGCCATCTGTACCTAAAGCCATTAGACATTCAGAGCTTCTAACTCTTGACCTAATTGTATGTTATACAAACACCCTCCTGATTTCCAGTGTAATGAACTAATCAGACAGACTGTTATGGTCCTCATGAGGGTTATTTGTTACGGTATATCAATTGCTATTCTCAAAAAAAAACCTCATTGCCTTCGAGTCAGATCTGACTCATAGCGACCCCTCCTTGGGTTTCTGAGGTGGTATCTCTGTGGAAGTAGATTGCCCAATCTGCCATCTGAGGAGTGGCTGGTGGGTTTGAACTGCCAGCCTTCTAGTTAGCAGTCAAATGCCTTAGGTACTGTGCCACCATCCAGATAAAAAAGAAACTGAAAAAACCTGTTGCCATTGAGTCGATTCCAACTCAGCAACCCCATAGAACAGAAAAGAACTGCCCCATAGTGTTTCGAAAGCTATAAATCTTTACAGAAGCGGACTGCCACGTCTTTCTCCCAGAGTGGCTGGTGGGTTCGAACTGCTGACCTTTTGGTTAGCAGCTGAACACTTAACCACTATGCCATTAAGGCTCATTTTAGATAGAAAAGAAATGCTCAGGTCTGATTCTATTTCTTGTCCTATAAAGCAAAGATGTTAATTCTTATCTCACGTGCTGTGATAATGGGGTACAGAATTCCTGGCACATAGTAGATACTCTAGAAACCGTTACTCTTGTTACTGTGTTACTGACACTGAGGGCCTGGAAGCATATGAAGCTGTCATAATGATCTTTCTTTTTTATCTCTGGGGAGCTAGAGCATTGCTGTGGGGGACAGAGTGAGGGAAAACTTACAAAGACAGCTATTATAGTATATTTATGGCCAGCTGGATCACAACCTTGGGTCTTTGTTTCACTTTGCTTAGACTGGTATTTAAATGACACCCTATATTCTTGCCTGTACACAATTTGGGACAAGGGATCCAAAGTAGTCTTAATAGCCATATCTTCATGGATAAACCTCAGTTTTGCAATTTTACTGATACTTCTTCCTGTAAGAACCTTCTGTGGACAAAATGGCTGTGAATTCTTCTTAGCTAAGTTAGAAAGTGGGAAGGTGAGTAAATTTTACATATTTGACCATATAAAAGACAGTTTACTTCCCATTGGTCTGAAAATGAACCCGTGTTATTTCTTCTTTCTTTTCTAGGCAAGCTGTGGATTTTCTTAGCAATGAGGGACACATTTATTCCACAGTGGATGATGACCATTTTAAGTCTACAGATGCAGAATAACTGGTTCTAATTGGGGACCTAAAATACTTTCTAGCTGGATCTGTTTTCAGTCTATTATTTCCAGCCGTGCATTCATTTGGTCTGTCAACCGCCCATCATCCTCTGAACTTCAAAAAAATAGAATAGTCAGTTTCATCCTTTTGCAAAGACTGCTGCCAAAAGCGTGTTGATAAGGATGTGAGGTTCTGGGGTGATGGCCCAGCAGGGCAGAGAAAAGGAAGAAATACAACTTTGCTTTGTACTAAATAAGAGCATGTATATGTTTAATAAAACAGTTTTTACCGCAGTATCTTGTGGAGATACTCGTTTTCCTTTTTAAGCAGTGTAATTACTGTATGATCTGAGGCAGTGTAGCATATTGAGACCTGGCTTTGAATCCTTCCTGTCCCTGTTACTAGGTAAGATCTTGAGCAAGCTACATAAGTTCTGAGAACCTCCATTTCTTAATTAAGTGAGAACAATGTTATTTCTTCATAAACTTCTTAAAGATTGACTGAAATAAAGTCTGAAGTATCTAGCATTTTTATAAGTGTATTATAAAATGGACCTCAACCTCGAATCCTTAGCAGTATGTGATCATGGAACTGTGTACTATTTGAGTTCAAGAAGAGACTTTACAGAGCCCTATGTCTGTTCTGTGGCCAACCTGATCACCTCTGTTGTGGGGGAGGAAGCTAGTTCAAAGATGTTTTTGACAACTGTAGAAAGTGACACCTTGAGTGAGAGAACCAATTCTGGGCTAAGCTAGTGAGTTAACATGCAAATGAGAATTCTATTTCTTTTTTAACTTTCTAAATGAGATCTAGCAGATGTGAAGAAGCCTCCACCTACCCACCTCTGGTTTCTAACAATTACTTATTTTCTGTACATTGAAAGCAGTTTCTATTGAGGGAGTTATGAAATACTTAAAACTCAGTCAACAATAGGTTTATTTGCAAGTATTTCCTTTTTTTTATTTTTTCAAAAGCCAGTGGCTAGAAACAGGTTTTAAAAAAAAGAAGTTATCATGTGGTTTCTGAGCCTTGGCAGGAAAGTTGGCGAAGCCATTCCTCAGTCAGTGGAGTGAAACACCATCCTTCATAGAGTTTATGCTCTGTTAAGCAAGAGGGGCTTGCATTTTGTTCATGTCTGGTCCCTTGAGGTGTCAGGTGTACAGTGGTCTCTTGATAAGTTATTGAGACAGCAGGAACAGTACATTGAGTAATTCAGTGAAAACTAGTTTCCTTGAGTAGTAAGCTGACCCCATAAATACTCAATAAACATTTGTTTCATTGATGAATTATCAGTTTTTAAGTCATCTAATTCTTGATAAGACTTCCGTACAAACCCTTGCCTTTACCTGGCCTATTTGAGGGAATGCAAATTCTTTGATGCACTAGGAACAGCAGCAGCAGCAGTGTGAAGCCACCCAGTGTCACAGCCTAGTAATGGGTCCAGCCTGCTCTGAGGAGGATCCTTCTTTAGGTATCTACGAGAGAAATGAGGCTCCTTGGAAAATTAGTACTTTATTATTGGGTTTAACGTAGAGAAAGGCCAATAAGAATTTGTATCTGATGTGGAATACTAGATTTGTTTTTAAAAATACAACTAGAGGAAATGTGAAACTTAAAAAAAAAGTTTTTGAGCATGTATTCCTCAGTTTATATTAATTTATTTTAGTAGTAATTACTGTTACTATATTAGTATATTGGGTACATTATGAAATATTTTTAAATAGCAGTGAGAAAAGATTAAATATGAAGGGATGTATTAGTAATTCTCTCCCCCTCACCCAGTGGGTCATCTTGTGTACCCCAAGGGTGTGTGCTCCTTACTTTGGAGATGGCTGCTCAGTAGGAATCCCTAACTTAATTATAATACCCTTCCCACAGCCCAGTGGGGTGTGCATTCCCTGGCAGTGCCTATTGATCTGATAACATTCATAGTTGTGGTTTTCCAATGTATTTTTAAGCCCAGTTTTCCACTATGAAGAACTTGCTTCCTTTCTCCTCACTACAGCAATTGGCCATCCAGAAAGACCTTTTGTAGGAACTGGTCACACACACACACACTTTGCTCACTGTTTTGCTCAATATATGCCAAGAATAAATGCATAGGTGGGAGTGAAAACTTGTCATTTTGCATACAGGCCTGGCCCCTGTGGGTTCCATGCAAGGAGGAACTATCTCCCTTTATCATTTTCTTGCTTATTGCTTGTCCCCAGAGCACTGTTCTCTTTTATAGGCTCTTCTTATGCACTGTCAGTTGATCTCTTTGGAGGAGGATATGGTACTAGTGGGAAGATGAGGATGAGGTGTCAGGTACTGGGGACTGGCCTAACAGCCTGGACTAGCTGTTCACTAGTCACCTGGTAAGCTCTATGCTGGGGTATGAAGGCCTGGGAAGTACAGTGGATCTGGACAGTCCAGAGATGTCAGCAGGCAGAGGACACCTAGGTACCATGGCTACAATCCAGAAAAACCTTCTTTGGGTGTCACAGCTAGAGACTTGGAAATAATTTTTGTCTGTCATCCTCTGTTGACCATGGTACTTAGTTCCATGACTGCCTCAGCCCAGGAAACAAAAGTCCCCCACTTTAAGAAATGAGATTTCCAGTAAGATGGCAGAACACAGACAAGCTACATAGACCCTCTTCAACAAAGAAAAGAGAAACTAATTGACACAAATAGAGAAGATAATCTGGGAGTCCTGGGCTTTGAAAGAGAAAGGATACAGAAGTGGATTAAATACCAACTAGTAGGCATTTGGCTGCTAACCAGAAGGCTGGCGGTTCAAACCCACCAGCCACTCCTTGGAAGGAAAGTTGGGAAATCTTCCATAGTGATCCTGCCTTGGAAACCCAAGGAAAGGTTGCTATGAGTCTGATCTGACTCCACGGCAGTAAGTTTGGTTTTAGTAGGAAAACCTGAATGAAAACAGTGACTAAGGACACACATGAAGCTGTGGACTATCAGCCATCCTGACAGCACAGCCAGTTTGAATATTTACAAGTGGTGGTAGGAACTAGGCCAGTAACCAAAAAACTGGCCCTGCTTGCCAAGGACTGCATGGACAACTGCACTGGTGGCTGACGACTAAAAAGGGAAACAGCAAAGAAGGAGACAAATTGAGCTGTGGACTTTGGGCTGTCCAGAGGATGCAGCCATTTTGAATATTTACAAGTAGTGTAGCCAGTTTGTGTATTTAAAGCGGCAGTGTTCAGATCCCAGTTACCTCAGAATAGGGTCTGCTTGCCAAGGACAGCATGGGCAACCACACTGGAGGGTGACGACTGGCAAGGTTGCATTGTTCCCCTTGTTATTCTTATACCCTACACCCTCTTGGTGAATGGAAATGTGGGATCCCACACCTTCACCAACCTGGACTGGCAGGAATTTCATCCCAGTCTGTTCTGGCGGAGCCTAGGTGACATACCCTGTCTCCCAACCCCCTATATTTTAGTTTTTCAATTTTAAATTATCTTTTTTTTTTTTTTTTCTTTCTTTCTTTTTCCCCTCATGGGTTCTAGTTTTTTGGGTTTTTTCTCTTCCCTTTTCTTGGTTCCCATCTTTTTTCTTTCTTTGGTTCTTCCTATCCCTTGTTTTTATTTCTGCATTTTCCTGATCTTTTTCTTTATTATTCTTTTACCATAGCTCTTTTCTCTTATTGCCCCCTCCCCAGATACTGCTTTTTTTCTCCTTTTCTATTTATATTCCTTTTGTCTTTTTAAAGTATTTGTTTTATATTTCTTCTCATTTATTTCCTTTTTTTTTTTTTTTCTTTTTGGCAATTATTCTTGTGTGTCTATGCAGTGTGTGTTTTTTTGGCCTCTTGTTTTCACTTTTTTGGTGGTTTTCTTGATTGTTGTTTTTGTCTAAGTGGGAGGCAGCAACCATGCCCATATGACCCAATGATACCCACACTTGCTGCATCCCCACCTACTGAGGGGCCACCTTGCGTCTGCACCAACTGGCCAACACAGACGACAGCCAGTATGAGTCTGAATCACCCTTAACTGCTCTTCACAAACAGCTAACAGAGATCTGTGCATCCACTCTCATTCTCTAGCACATCCCCAGGAAACAGGTGGTAAGTGCATAATGCTGCCAACTAGCAAATAGAGGAGCACAGTACCATGCTTACTCAGATGTATCAAAACAAAACAAAATTTTGGGTGAATCACACCAACATACAATCATCGATTAAATATAAATACAATGATGTCACAGTATCTCGGAGACAACAGACCATCACAGTCCACACAAAGAAGCAGGATAAAAAGTACTGAAGAAAGGAACCAGGATAAAGACCCAGAAAACATCCCTGAGGAAGAAGCAGTATTGAAACTCCCTGATAAGGAATTCAAAACAATTATATTTAGGTACTTACAACAGATTGAGAGACAGATCAAGGAAAACACTGACAAAATTGAGGAAAACACAAACCCCTAGAACCATTTCAGAAGACAAATAAGAACAGAAGGACAAAAAATAAATAAAAATTAGAAATGATAGAAAATCTACAGATAGAAATCCAGAAGATTAATAAGAAAATTTCAGATATAGATAACACGTTGAATGGGCAAAAGAGTAGTAGGATTGAATCAGTGGAAGAACAAATTAGTGAGATCGAAGACAAATAGTAGTATTTTGGTAAGGGCTCACACAGAAAACATCAAAACAAAAAAAAACTAAGAAAGCCTAAGATTCATGTGGGATACCATCAAGAACAACATGTAATCAGAATTCCAGAATAGGAAGAGACAAATAAAACCACAAAGAAAATTGTCAAAGATTTGTTGGAAGAGAATATTCAAGAAGTTCAGTCAACCCCAAAGAGGACAGAGCCCAAAAGAAAATCACCCAGACATATCATCATCAAATTCATCAAAACCAAAAACAAAAGAATCCTGAGAGCACAGTGAAAATGAAAGTTACCTGCAAAGGGCAACCAATAAGACTAAGCCTGGATTTCTTGGCAGAAACCATGCAGGCAAGAAGGCAATTGAATGATATCTATAAAACCGTGAAAGAAAAAAATTTCTAACCAAGAATTGTATACCCAGCAAAATTATCCCTCAAATATGATGGTGA